TGTCGACGATGATCACACGACGAAGGAAGGCACGAAAGGTGCGTGGACTGATCGTCGTCGGCCCCAATCACTCGGCACAGAAAATGGATTATGGAACGGCAGAAAAGATACATACACACAACTGCGAATATAACAACAGACTTTCATGCACCTACCGCAACGAAACCCTATCGCCACGGACGATTTTACGATTTTCAGCCCCAAAATCGTCGGGGCATCAACCAAATCAGTATTTCAACAATGGTGACCATCCATACAGCGAGCCAGACCATCATGCGCCGGCCTGACATCTAGCGGTGGCGGCATGAATCACGTTTTTGTTTCTCAAGCAAGCCGATGCGTCGCAACTAGAGAGCCTGAAAAGGTAAAGTCACTAGATTTCTTAAATATGACCGGTATTCATAGTCAGTTCTTATTTCAAGACTGTCTTAAGTAATATCTTAAGACGCGAACGCGGCCCTCTGATTGGTTCGTTTGGCATTTTAAGACTGTACTTAAGACGATCTTGAATATAAAAATCGACTATGAATACTGCCTATGTACTGCAAATGATTTCAGATATGTCACGTCAAAATGACCGAAGTGCACATAGTACACGGTTTCAAGCATGTGGTGGTTGATGGTTCATCTTTTAAAGAGTTCACTCTTGTCCTTTCATATACTTTCATGCACTAAACTTCTCTACAACAAATAAACCTGTATTAAACTAAATAATACAAGCATTTATATATTTTTGTTAGTCATAAATAAATTAATTACAATTAAAAAACATTCATTTACGTACTTGACACCTTTATTTTCCAAAATAAAAGTACATATACAGAAATGCATATATTTGAAATGGCCGCGTTTCGCGTCAAAATAGTGCGAGTTTGCGGTATTTTAGAAATCTAGTGACTTACTCCAGGGAAGATTGATTGCACGTGTTTGCCCGTGTCCAATCAGAATGGGGGTCACATGAGTGACCCAGTTTACTTCAATCTTTCCATGTCTATGGAATTTTGATGGTCGAATCCAATCAAAAGAGACGAGGCACATTAAGTCGGTTCTACATTAGTTGCTAATCGCAAATTGTTGTAACAGCCAATCTGAAGCTTGCATTTTGAAATCAACGCTTCATATTGGCTGTCGCACAAACTTGCGATCGGCTTGCAACTAATGTAGAACCGGCTTTATGCTCTCTTGATTAGAATCCTATTCAGGCTCGTATTCAGGATATTAATCATGAAATTTTATCCCTAGGATGAAAAGTAAAAAGTGAAAAATTTCTCCATTAATTTCAATAGTAAAAATTTTCACTTTTCACTTTTCATCCTAGGGATAAAATTTCATGATTGATATCCACAACGCGCTTACAATGATGTCATAACATGCTATAATTTATGTTATGCATACTATAGAATTTTAGAGACGAATACTCATATTCATAGTCAGGCCTTATATTTAAGTTTTCCTTTAATTTATTTTTAGATACTCTACGAATTATTTCATTGGCTGCTGAGCATCTAAAGGAGCATATAATAAATTTAAGGAAGCCTTATGTACAAGTTTTGACTATGAATACGGGCAAAAAGCGCATTTTGAAATACAGACCTATATTTATAATGGATCTTTTACAATAAGCCATTAGTCATAAATCAGAAGTCAAAAGCTAAACATTGGTGACTGTGATTGGTCAATTTTTAGCTTCTGATTTCTGATTTATGACTAATGACCCAGCAAATGAGAATGGATTGAAATGGATTAAAATGGATTCAGATTTTTAGAAATAAGGATTCATTATATATTAAAATCCTGAATCCTTTTCAATCTTGAATGAATTTTTATTCCTTTATAGGAATTGCATGAAATAAATACCTATTCCTTTTCAATCTTGAATGCATTTTTATTCATTTATAAGAATGGAAAATATTTCTATGTAAATTTCTATGAAAATTTTTTAATCTAGAAATAATATTATAGTATTATAGTATTTTGTGTGCAACGCGAATACTGCTTAATTTAAAATTCTGAATAGGAAATGCAGTTTTTCATTCCAGTTGAATCTAAAAATAATATCAGCCATTTCTGTGCATTGTGAATACTGCTAAATTCAAAATTCTGAATAGGAAGTGCAGTTTCTTAATCCATGAATAAAAAAAAGTTTTTCTTTTATTGACCCATTTTCTTAAATAGGCCAAGAATACTATTCAAAATTGTGAGTAGAAAAATTGTTTTATTTAAAAATGCATCATGTATGCTATTTTATTCAGAATTATAAATAAGAAATTTTTCGTTTTAATTCAATTAAGTTAAAAAAAAGTTGTACCGTAAAAATATACCATGAGAGAGAGAGAGAGAGAGAGAGAGAGAGAGAGAGAGAGAGAGAGAGAATTCTACTTCATGTAATAATTAAAAGAAACATAAAAAGAACTACGTAAATATATACAATAAATGTTACATATGTAAATTTCTTATTTTTAATTAATAAATTAATTGCTTTTATGTTTATTTTATCCCAGTAAATGAGAATGGATTAAATTGGATTGAAATTTTTTTCTAAGCGAATATATATTTTAAATAGCAAATACTTTTTTTTGGATTTAATTGGATTCAATTGGATTCAATTAGATTCAATTGGATGTAATTGGATTGAAAAATTACATTTCCTATTCAAAATTTTGAATTGGACAGTATTCACAATGTATTGTTTGTGCACAGAAAAAGCTAATATTATTTTTAGATTGAAAGGCATAGAGGTTAGCTTCATGCAATTCCTATAAATAAATAAAAATAAATAAATAAAAATGCATTCAGGATTGAAAAGCATTCATTTTAACATTCGTGAATCAATATTTCTGGAAATCTGAATTCATTTCAATTCATTTCAATCCACTCTTGTTTGTTAAGCAGTGAGTCTTTCATTTAGTATATTCCATTCTAAAATACGGACCATATTTGATTGGTACATTCCATTAGATTCTAAAATATATCAATCAGATGAGAGTCCACTGAGCAAAAAGGGGATTTATCTATTATTAAGGTTTATTTATTATAATTCGTAACGTAGAATAATTTTGTCTACTATAGATAATCTTTAATATCATCTTTCTTATTTATTACTGTTTATTATTTCTCTAATGCCGTGTTTAGGCAGTGAGGTTATGTAGAGCTCAGTGAGCGATGGAGCGACTTAAAACTCCATCGCTACGTTACGAATTATAATAAATAAACTATAATAAATAAAATATAATTAATAATAGATAAATTCTCTTTTTGCTCAGTAAGCGGTCGTTGCTTCTGGATGTACCCAATGAATATACCCAAAATGCGCAAAAGCTGACAAGAACACACCTTTGTTTTTTCCACCATGACTAGAACTATGATGCGCGGCATTTTGCCTCGGAAACTGTGGCTTTTTCGTTTCTTGTGACGTCGAAACTCATTGATCGTTAATCCGATGGACGTATTCTAAAAAAAATTTATAAAGAATGATAGAATTTCTCATTAATTCATATCATTTTCTATAAGTTTATATAATTTTCTATCTTTTCTATCGTTGACCTCGCGAGCATCACGATTGATCAGATATGAATTCTATCGTATTTTATCAGGTTATATAAGATTTGCACAAAATTCTTATATAAAATTTAATTCAACATTAATTTAGTTAACTCATGAACCAAATTTTATATTTAAAATGATAGAATTATTCTATTTGTATTATATGTAAATAGAATATTTGCTCGTTTTCTATCAATTCTTTTTTTATCAGGGCCGTTCTCCATCGTCTGCTACGAACGCGACGGCTCGCATTTGGTTTCACGGTTGGTTGCGGTTGCGCTAATCGGTACTGTCAGTAGTCGATGTCGTGCAGTGCGGGCATTGCTGATTGCGGGGCGCGAATGTGAGCACTGTGAGCTTCGTACTCTTCCAGGAAAATAGATAAGATGAAGGAGGAACGGGAAAAAAGAAAGAAATGAGTGTTCAACCAACCCAGCACGACTTCTGATCGCGCAATGTGTCCGACGCATCGTCGCCGTTACGGGGATGGAGGCCGAGGTCCGGGTGCCCCCATTTAATCGAGTCTCGCGCTTCAGCGGTTTATTATTTCGGCGCGTGAATGACGTGTTGATGCGTTCGGTCTGGTCGCAAGTTCGCGATCCGAGTCTCGTGAACGCACCAGTGGTCAGCTAAGCTAATAAATCAGTGCGCGTTGGTTCGATCGCTCTTATCTGATCAAGATGGACCGCCAGGACACAGAGATCAGGAGACACGATAGTATTTTGGGTGTCAAGTCAATTAGACTAATGTGAAACGCGGCGATGAGGACGCCCGAGGTTTGATAAGTTTGATTAAGCGACCGTGATATTGAATGAAAAACGACGCGATTGCTCGACATAGCTCGCGAAGGAAAAAAGGGGAAACGCGTCGGTGAAAAGAACGTGCAGATCTGCATGGAATACATCATACTCGAGTCTTGTTCGGCTGCACAGTCGATTTTAGTCGATTCGATTCTAGTCATTTGTTCTAGTCCAAATGTCCAAATGCCAAAAGTATTACTCGATACCCCAAGTATGATGTATCAACTTGCGGTCACCATTGGATATCCTCCTACATGACTGAACGTTTGAATCAATAGGGAGCAGAACTGATATCAAAAAGCATATTATAGTTCATGAATACTTAGGACATGTTGTAACGCGTTACGCAATTGATTCCGCAGCATTTAGATATTATGATTTGATAATCAAGTGCAAGCGACACACGAGCGATATGCTTGAATACTATTAAGATGTGAGACATTTTGTATATTGGATGTACTTCACTTTGTATGACTACAAACGGAAATGATTACGTGTAAATTTAATATTAGTATAATTTTTTATTCGTTAAGAGCTTATCCATAATTTGAAATATAGAAATAATATTTTTGAGAATTTTTTTATGCTATATTTCAACGCATCTTCTACGACTATGATAGAAGAATTTTTTTAACTATAATTAGAGACGTATAAAAATTGATGATGTGATTCAACGAGCGATTACAGAAAGGGATAATATAAAAGGATATATGGTGATCGTGTTAAATGCTGCGAGTATTATGGATCAGAGTGAGGGAAATAACGTCTCTAGCGTTTCAAATAAATCAGAGGTTTCTCCAAAATCAAAACAAAAGAAAAAGTCCCTCTGTCGCATGCTCATGAACAAAAAGACCAAGGTCGGCTGCTTGGAATCCTCCTACAAAGATGGGGATTCAAATAGGAATTCCAAGATAGAGAGCTCGCAGCATGGATCTCAAACTAGCACCAAACTGTCTCTGTGCTGTGCTATGACTGAACGTAGCAGAACACCACCCCAGAGCTTAACCATTAGTAGACTTTCTCCAATGACGTTGAGTCATACCTCGGTCAAGTCCGAGGTAGCTTCCATCAATGTGGATCATGAAACAGATGTACCAGTTGAGCAGGAAGAGATGCATGTTGCAAATGATCAAGCCAAGGATCAGGTTCAAGCAATTCAAGAGACTGTAGTCAGAAGGAGTAATGTAGCAATAGGAAAGGAACAGCGTCCTACTACTTATATAGAAGGTAAGTTTCACAAATGTATCACAGCACTTGAATATTACTGATTTAGATATGAAATTTGTGTACTACATGGTAAAAAATATTAATTTTTATATTTGTATTGAAAACGGTCCATTCAAGTCCTTGTTAAAATTTTAGGTTGAATTTTTGACACATGTGTAGGTTTAAATATTTTGTGTTAAATTGATATTTAACATTTCTTAGTGTCAAAATAACACTAAATTTATGAGTAAGTGGACGAATAATAAAATTGTTTTAAAATGTAAATTTTAATATAAATTACATGTTAATTTAACATATCGTATATGTTAATTTTATTGAAAAAACATATTTTTCACAGTTTGCTTACAAATTGTATCACTATTATTTTTTTTGTGTTAATTTTTTTACGTAATATTTGTGTTGCTTCCTAACATATTTATCTCGTGTTAAATTAACATAAAAAGTGGATATTTGACTGGACTGTTTGGAGCATGTGAAATGTGTTAAATTTAACACAAATTTTCTAACTGTGTACACAGTAAAAACCATTCTGTACTTGTATTAAAATCGGTTCTTGTTAAAATTTTTGTGTTTTTAATATACTTGAGTGTTGATTTGACTTTAATGTGATTGTGTTATTGAATATTTTATGTTACTTTGATACTTTTCTTAATGTTGTGTTCTTAATGTTTGTTTGATACTTTTCTTAGTGTTAAGTCATCATTTTTGAGTAAGTAAACAAATAACATAAACATAATATAGTTTTAAAATGTACATTCTAAGTCTGTAACAGTTTAAAATGTATTTTAAATTAAACTTTTGTTCTAATGAATAAAAGATGAATGTATGTGTTAATTTAACACATTATAAATATTAATTTTACTGAAGAAAGATACTTTCACAATTTTTCTTTTCAAATTATGTGAAAGTGTTAATTGTTACATTTTTTGTGTTAATTTTTAATACAATATCTGTGTTGCATTATAAAATCTTGTGTTAAATTAACATATAACAAATTTGGGTGAATCATTTAGGACATGTATATTCATCAAGTATATTAAAGAATTTCGTCCATTTTACTGCGCACAATATCAATTATCATTTTAGATAAACAATATAGAAAAATTAAATAATTTTAGATCCTCAAATCTCTGCTAAATGCAATTCTAGTTTTTCAAAAATGTCATCCTATTTGTTTGATAGCTCATCATCAAAATTACTGAAAAATATTTCACTAACATTCTTCTCCGAAGATATCTTTCAGCAAGATATTTGAGATATACATCTTAGATGCCAAATGAATGACATCATGTGGGCAACTAAATTCTAAGTTCAGTAATGTGGGTAGAACAACCTATAGTGCGGGTACTATTCTTTCATGTATTGTCACTGTTTTAGACACAGAAATCTTGTGAAATGGAGAATGGATAAAACAGGATCTAGAAGTATTTTTAACTATGTAATAAAAAGATCATCGATTAAAGTATATCACAAGCAAAAATAGTAATATTAATCTCACACATATGATGAGATTCTAACATTAATCTATTAACATTAGCTATTTTAACTATTGATATTTATGCAGTTTTAATTTACTCTTTATACTTTATAATTGATGTACAACTCATTTTATATAAATGACCCAAGTACACACACACACACACACACATTTACGGAGTGTTCCCTAATGACATAGCGTTTACGTGCAGATAAAACGAATTAAATTAAGTCGAAAAATTCTCTATTTTTGCAAGTTTTTTTTAGTTACTCAATAAGCAAAATGTCTAAAATCAATGCATAAGACATTTTTAAGATCTTTTAAAGAATCATCTTTAAGATATTTAATAAAAAAAATCTTCTTTAAAGTATCTTAGATACAAAATTAACTCACGAGCGCTGTGTTAATAATTAGGATATATATATATATATATATATATATATATATACATACATATAATGGACGAAGTTTTTTTAACACAAATTTAAACAACTGTTTAAAAAGATCCCGTTATGATAAGCAAGTAGATCAGCATTAACGAAATAGTAAGCATTCAGAATGATGTTAATTTATTCTACAATAATGTGGAGGGAAAAGAGAAAAAAGATCTTCAGTTACCTCATATCTAATTTCAACTAAATGACACTCCTATTTTCCTATGCGCATTTTGCAATGTGATTTGATGATGCTCAGATGACCTTGAACATCCCCTCCATCTTTTACATTCTAAAGCATTCTATTCACTACATGGCACAGATAATGCTTCCAGTTGACGTGGAGTTAGTAAAGTATATCTTTGAGAGATACGTGCATGTGTTTTTCTTGATCAATGAGAGTATGAATAATCTACCGAAAATGTCGAACAAAAAAAGAAGGAAAAGTTTCCTTAACAAGTTACGTAGCATATTTAAGAAAAAAGACGAGTTAGAAGAACAATCAGATTTCCATAATAAGCAGAAAAAAATATTTGACGATAGGCAAACTGATGATATGGGAGGTGCATCTTGTAGTTCTGATCAAAAAATTGCAAAAGCTGTTGGCAGTGAAATTTGTGTAGCAATTTCAAGAAATAGTTTATCTGAAAAAGAAACATATATTGATAAGAATTTATCAAAAAATTGTAAAAACGTAGATATTATAAAAAGTGAAAGTTTCAGGTTTCCTAATGTAGATGATGATATAAATGAAAAGAATCATCAGAACGTTACAAAAAATAAGCAGCTGAATTATAAATTAGGATCGGACAGACATATGAATACAAAAATTACTTTTCTAAATCAAGATAACGATATAATAAATTCTCGTTATCCAGGAGTTACTGGATTATCTTTAGGAGATACTGGGAAAGTGCATCATGATAATGGAACGAAAAGTTATAGTTCTGACTCTAAAAACGCAATATTACAATCTCTTAACAATACTAATATTACGAGCGGTACGCGTAAATTTTTAGTAAAGGAAACAAAGGTGATTTCTCAAGAGAGTAGTGAAGATAGTGACTTCTCTGCAGACTCAATGGAAGATTCATTCGAAGATTCTTCAGAAGATGAAAATGAACATCTGATTGAGTCTGAGAAAACTCAAAAATACTTTAAGGATGAGTACTTTACAAAGGGAAAATATATCACTTATTTCTTCCTGGAAATGGAACGGCAGTTATACAATCCTACAGATGTTTACAGTATGGTTCAGTATCATAATACTGATTGCGAAAAACCAGAAAAAAAAGGTACAAAATGATATACGAAATTTATACGGTGCTTAAAATGTATAACTCTTTCTGTTTTTGCTAGTATTTTACATTTTATTCTTACAAACTATTGAATTTTTTCTTCAAAGTTTTTTCTTTAGCATTATAATAAATTATTAAATTGGCAATATTTTGCATATTCTAGCTCTGTTAAGAAACCGTATATACAATTATTTTATGTCTGGATTAGATTAGAAACATAATACATTTAACGCTGTGATGTTGTTCGTACGCAGCTATAATTGTTTGTATGTTACGTATCTCTATCTTTTCCTAATTAATTTAGATTACTAGAAAATATGTGTAAATACCTATATATTTTATAGGATGACTGTATGTAGGTTTTATATAGTTGTTTAAGTTAAATATAGGCTACTACTTATGTTAGATTTAAAACAAGTACAGTACTATTTAAAGTCAATTTGATAAATTGCTTGATTTAAATTCAAGTAATAATTGGTGCTGTTCTTTTTTCAAATATATTAATCAAATAACTAAATGGTTTTACTGATGTACATAAACAAATGTTTAATTTCAAAATACGAGTTCAAGATATTTTTATCTAGTCAATGATAACAAATCTTATCTAATTTCATCATATTACGAATCTGCACGGTTAGTGCCAAGATTGTAGTAGGCGGCAATTGAAACAATTTAGTTTCATTACAACGGAATGCTATAATTTGTTATGAAATTAATTTTTAGGCACGAAGTGTATTTGCTCCATCAATATATATGTTCTATGATGTATATTTTTTGCTTTCGAAAATGTAATGGATGATTCTTTCTTTTACGCAATTACAACGCATAATTTCCATTAATCTCACGCATAATGTATAATTTTAAATTGTTTCAGGTGAATATTCTTCCTCCGGATCGCTATCGCCGAGTATATCAGGACAATTACGTCGTAGATTGCTTCATAGGAGATCTGCGGATAATTTGATCGTAGACTCACCTACAAGTTCTATGAGACATTCTAGTCCAGATTCTATTAAAAGTGCACCGATCCAGCATAAGCCACGTTCAACGTCCCATGATGCGTTGTCTAAAAAGAATCGTTACTTTCGTCAAACGACAGGGGCGTCTATGGATAGCTTGGCAAAGCAATCATTACTTGCTGCACAAGTACTTAATTTAATTCCTACTCAGAAAGCACGGGAAAGGTATATTTTTCCTCAGAAAATTATCTGAAATGATTATTATCCGATTGCTAAAACCAATTGATTTTGTAGGAATTTTCTTCATGGAAGAATCGCTGCCAATTCCTTACTCGGACCAATGGAACTTGAGAAAGTATTGCCTAATCGAGAATTAAAAATTTTTATCGGCACGTGGAATATGAATGGTCAGACTCCGCCAAAAGAATTGAACGACTTTATGTTGCCATCCGACATAGAGACTGTTCCCGATTTGTTAGCCATAGGAACACAAGAGTCATGTTCTGAACGACATGAGTGGGAGGCAGCTCTGCAAGAAACTGTCGGTCCTTCGCACGTGCTACTAACTAGTAGTAATCTCGGTACACTTCATCTTGCATTATTTATAAGACGAGACTTGATTTGGTTCTGTTCTATTCCGGAGGAGGATAACTTTTCAACGAGAACTGGAACAGCATTCAGAACGAAAGGCGCAGTAGCTATAGCTCTTATGATATTTGGCACTAGCTTTCTCTTTGTTACTGCTCATTTGACCGCACATCAAGACAAAGTAAAAGAACGGGTCAATGATATAAAGAGAATCGTCAGAAATCTTGATTTACCTAAAGAGTTACCTATCCGACACAAAAGTAAAGGTATTAATGTCGTTAAAGCTTTAATAGTCTTACGTTTTACATTGTATCTAATAAATATATATTGTTTATTTTTTATTTATTTATTATAGATGTAACTCAAAATTTCGATTGCGTGTTTTGGTGCGGTGATTTAAACTTCCGTCTAGCTCAACCGAGAGAGGAAGTGATTCAATGGATCACAAATACATGTTTTCCACAAGAATCACCGATAAACATGCGCAAAGATCAATTGAAAAATATCCTAAACGAAGGCGCAGTGTTGCGTGGTTTCGAAGAAGCTCCAATTATGTTCCCTCCCACTTACAAATACGATCCGGGGACGCAGAATTTCGATTCTAGCAGCAAGCAACGCACTCCGGCGTACACCGACAGGATTCTTTTCAGAGGGAAAGGTCACACCAGAGGATACATTAGACGCGTTAGCCATGAGATTTCTAATTCTAAGGACGGGGTTATAGAATGCTTGATATATGATTCTGTTCCAAGTATGTGCACGTCGGATCACAAGCCAGTCTGGGGAGTCTTTAAAACCACATTGAGGCCGGGTATCGATACGTATGTGTCTGTTATTTATTGACGTTTGAAGAGATGATGGTCATATAGCTTGAATCCTTTTGTATGTATTAGATACAATCTATATATGCTGTTATTTATTTTTAGAATTCCGCTTGGTGCTGGACTTTTCAATCGTGAAGTATATCTGGAAGGTATTAGAAGGCGCGCGGCGGCGATGGATGATTCTCTTGAAACTTCAAAAGTTTGTTCAATTCAATAAAGAAATTAGAAGCTATTGTGAGAATGTATCAGCAGAATGGGTAATGTATTTATAGATAAAGATTTGTTTTTTTATTATAACAGGCAGTATGAAAGAATGATCGCTTTGTATCATTCTTACAATAGATGTCACATTTCTTTTGTACGATTTATGTACTCTGTACGCTAAGTCTGTCCATTTTTATAGCGGTGACAAGAAATACTTTTTTAGTAAGATTTGTATAATAAATTACAATTACGAATGAACACCGTAAAAGTCTAGTCAACCAGTGAAATAAACTCGTTTAATGAAATGAAATCTAGATGAGGATTTTATAAATGTATCATCAATATATTCCTGACATTCATATTGTGCCACAGACATTAGAGAGGTAAAATGTTATTTGGCTTTATGTGGCCGACTTTGTCAAAAAATTACAAAAAAATTACATTCATTTTGTGACACTGCTAGTTTAGTTAGATAAATTTGTTATAATAATTCTGTATTGCAGTATTTATCAAAATGTAACATAACTAACATCTCAGACGTTAAAAAAATTACATAGTGATGAAAAATAATTTTATAAATATTAAAATATATATTTATGTAATTTTTAACTGCTACTAATGGAATAATGATAACAATTTATAGGTCAAATTTCGTATAAAATGAGTTTTCTAATTTTTATGTTCAATTAAATTAGAAGTAATACGAATTGTAGACCAAACTATTGGGCCAATAAGATATTAGAGCAGGGTTTCTTAAACTTTTGTGAATCGTAATCTACTTCATAGAATAACAAACTCCAGGACTCACCTAGCTTTAGTGGATATGGAAAAGCAGGGGGAAGGGAGGGGGATAAGAATTAATTAATTTATACTTAATTTTAATTTTGCTCTTTTTTTTTAATTTTTTTGTTAAAACTTTTATTAATATATTTTTTAAACGTATGAGATGTACGTGCGCTTGTTTCCTATATATCTTTCTATTAATAATAATCTTAATGTCAACATTGATACAAATTATTTTCAGATCAAAGAAGTTGACAATTACTTAACTTATTTTGTAATTTAGTTTTAATTCCTGCCAATCGTTAAAAAGTCAATTTCACACGTACGAAGTGAAAGGGAGCAGCACTTTTAATATAATGAAATGTAATTTAACATTCTAAAATTTTTCACGATTCACCAAAAATCGATTTATGATTCATCAGTGAAAGCGACCCACATTTTGAGGATCCCTATATTAGATAATATTCGCAAAATTTAAATAATACGTTTGTTTATTAATCTTTATATTCTTATTTACTGGGACCATTTCTTATGTAAAATCTTAAAAAAAGATTTAAAACAGTAGAATATCTTTCCCGAAATGTTTTATATATACAGATTCTTAATCGCTACATCAACGCGTAGCATCTTTTATGCTCCTTCCAGTTATAGTCGATAATTCATCTCACAATAAAAATGTTGGTATAGTTATTAAGATTCACATCGCATTATATACTCAGGATGCCCTAGACTTTGCATGACATCCATTAATACATCTTGAGATCATTTTGATAAGAAAATCCTAACATCAAAATGTCGAGGCTACAGATATTTTTTAAATGAGAAGAATTTCAAATTAACAATTAAATTGTTCGAAATTTGTGTGCTCAGACATGGCACATTGTATCGTAGTGAAGTTGTTTAGAAGAATAGAAGAAAATAAAATTAATGCTTGGAAACCAATATTGCTAGTTTGTTCAAAGTTATCTCTCATGTCGCGATTTTCTCAATATTTTAGCTATAATTTGAGGTTTTTTGTATTTTTCTTTCTAAAAGTTACTCGGAAATCCTCCTAAACTTCCAAAAAATCTCCCAGTAATAAAGAAATCTCCAAATCTGATAGAATTGTAGAAATTCTACTAAATTGGCAACACTAATTTTCTATTGTGCAATATGCTATGCCTAAGCATACGAATTTTGGACAGTTCAATTGGCTAACTTTAAACTTTCTTATTTAAAAATTATTGTAATCTCCACATTTTGGTATTAGAATTTTCTTAAAATGATTTTAGAAATCTACTGAAAACGCGAAAGTGTTTGGCACCTCGTGTGTGTGTGTGTGTGTGTGTGTGCGCGCGCGCGCGCGCGCGCGTGTGTGTGTGTGTGTGGTAACTACGTTAGTAATTAATTGGTAAATAGCATGGTCATGTTAAATAGTGTTGTGTTATCGATTTTAAATAGTCTATAGCGTTAAAAGATAATGTTCTTTGATAATGAGTGATCCTATTTCTAATTTATTGTAGATAATAATGGCAAATTACTAATTATAAAACCCCAAACACAATATTGTTGCAGAATAATAATATATGCACAAATAAGGTGGCTAAACTAGCATTAGATCTAACGTTTGCTATATCAGAAATATATGATGTGAATCGTATTATATAATAAGTAATTAATATGACTCTTATTTACATTATTTATTTAATTAGGAATATTAAAATTACACAATTTCCTAAGTACAAATATATATATTTTTCAATTCAATTATGATGTTATTATGTATCTTATTGCTTTGTCTTTATGATAAATTTATTTTGTTGTTACTTTTTGGTCGTTTTATATTTCACATTATTCTTAAAAATCTTATATCTAAGATTCTAATACATGAAATAGTATGTATCTAAGGAATGCTGTATGTTCCTCTTTTCTCTAATATACTAACTGGAGAAAAGAACAGTAACAAAGATTACTTTGATAAAAGAAGCAATACGCAAATTATTAACAAAATAACGTAATATTTATATGTTGAGATGAACAATATAAACTATAAACAAATTATATATAAATATTAAACTCCACAATATTTAGAATGGTGTTTAATAAGTTCCACTAAATATAGAACATATATAAATGTTTAATAGAAAAAAAGTGCTTAGACCTAATTAAAACATAAAGTATTAAAAAAAGACAAATATATGATGTACTACATGTTAGGCATTAAGTTAGGTGATATTAAATTGTAAGTTTAAAGAAAAGATGTGATTTAATGATATCGTTTTTATTATCAAACATAATGTATTCACTTACGAGCAAAATTTCAAAGTTGGAACATAATTCTGGAATACTCGCACTCCAAACAAATAAAATCAAAAGATTAATCTTAAATTGGAAAAATATTATTATATATGTCTTGATAGAGGCATTTCGTGTCATGCGTCAAATGCATACTTTAGTGATTTGTGATGACTTCTTTGTAATTGCGTAGACAGGTTGCTAAACAAGGTGCCTAAAAACATCTTTTAGTGTTTCTAAGCCTTCTACAATGAAGCGAGACTAAAAACTGTCGGGGTCAAGATCTTTAAGTCTACTGAGCAGGTTGCCTTAATCATGCCTTACTTAAATCGTTATATATGTAGTTACCCTTGATCTCTGTGCACGTACAATTTTCTTAAAATTATATTTCATTTGGATTTTCGTTTTAGAAAAGAAAGAAAAAATGCGGTACAATATGTAATCTATGTTGTAGTCTCTTCTGTAATGATATTTAAATAAAAATTCCTGGAGAGTAAGCGTATTTTAATGAACATAATTTGGCTTGTAATATGTTGATTATCTTATCTAAATCGCATCAATCAAAGAAGCAGCAAAAGAGTATTATAATTAAATTTTTATATGAGATGTAGAAATCATACACAACATAGGTTATTGCCTGTTGTATTGTCTGTTGTAAAACATATAAATTTAATTCAATAAGCATTTGTTAAGTAAAAATCATTTAATACATTGCACAGCAATTTTTTGGAGATATTTGGTTTTTGTAGTGCATGATCTGAATCGTGATGCAAGTAGACAAGGTGTGTTCTTGCGCATATTTATTTGCTGCAATCAATCAGAACTTGATCTTTTTTTCAGCGAATTTTGTTTCAATATACCTGCTATGACAGATATGATTTTAACATATTGTAGAGCATGTTAAAATATAAAATTTATAACATACCATGTTTTATATTGATATTATTTATATGGACTTGAATTTCTATCCATATTTTTCTGTATATCTCATCTTTGAGAACGAAACAAAATTTATTGATTTATATTTTGTTAGGATTACAACTTTTGCAACCTTTCACATAACACGTTGGCATTACTATTTATTACCTATTCATTTATTATTATTTATTTCCATTTATTTATTACCACTTATTACTTATTTATTTGTATTAATTTCAAATTTTATGATGTATAGTTAAAATGACAGAAAATAGAGCCAGCGCATTGCTATGCATAAACTTGTCTTAGTTATGAGCACATCTTATCTACTTGCATCATGAATTTGAATAATGCTACCTGCCCCTTTTTCAGTTATCTTTGTACTCTTGTACTGTGATACATTTTCAAACATACAGGGTCAAGCAGTTGAATCTGACAATTTTCTCTGTTATAAAGGAATGACAAGATCTAAAAGAAATAATCTTTTAATATTGTCATTGATTTATAAATTAAATATTTGTACATCTAGCAGTATATACCAGCAATTTTTCGTAAAAATTGTTCATTATTTCGTAGACTTTAACATTAATTTAATTTTAGGAACTTGCTTTTATTTTTAATTTGAACGACGCATTTATTTTTATTTGAAAAATATTTTAAGATTTATTTGAACATCTTTTCTTTGCGGTAGCCTCATTTTATGTAAATATAAAGAAATAGATAAAAATTGAAATTTAAAGATATATTAAACATATTTTGAAAACATTCAAAAAATTATGAAAAAGATACAGATTGTTCTTATATTGCATTTGAAAATAGTAGAAAAAATTTAGCAGCGATTTTCTACACGGATAAATTAATAAAACACGGATAAATAAATTTTCAATAATAATTTTAAATATATAAATCCTAAATCATTTAAATAAATAAATTCAAAATGATTTATAATATAATATATACTTTCATTATGATGCAGAGATTAGTTGTTCTGTAAAAAAAAATAAAATTATTTTATTTATTTATTTATTCATTTACCAAACAACTAAATGGACAATTACAATGAAATTTGTATAAATTATCTTGAACACTTAAAGTACGTACATAAAAAAATTGAGGTTTTTTTCTTAATATTATAAAAAATAATTTAATTGTTAATAACAAAACATAGACTATATAAATAAATTATAAAAATGTGTTATGAGATAAAAATATAATTTTATTTACACATAACATTCATATTGTATAGTTAATTTGAAGTAAAAAAATATTAAACACATTTTCAAATTTAATTTTGCAGAAACTGTATGACCAATTAAGATATATTAAACGTGACAATTACAAGATGTTATTTCTAGAACTAAACTTATAAATAAATATGAAGAATTATTCTTATTGAGGGTTTACGAAATTTCCATTCCATCTAATACTCTTTCATTCAAGTCTCTGTATCAACTTTTTATAAAATCGAGAATCGGAATTAGGACATGAGTACGAATCGCTTTCACATAGGAATTACATTCCTTTGAAAGATCATTCCATACACAACTAATAAGGAATAAATACCTTTAACGATCCAAGCTGGATTTTAAATGCTTCAATAATTCGATTCTTATATTATCATGTAAATTGCACGCCGAATTGATTTTTCAATTTTGAAACGCATTATTCCTTCATATTTTACTTGTTGCTTTAAATCCTATAACTTTTTTACACGCTTGAAAAGATTGTTAGATCCTATCGTTGAATCCTACGGAAAAAACAGTTTTGCTAAAATATCTGAAAATTCAACTTTTTCATCTCTAGTAGAAAAAATTCTTATAATATTTTATGTAAAGAATTCTAAGAAAAATTTTCCCCTGAATTTTTCCCTTTCAGTCTGAAAATAATTTTATTAAAATGGAGTAAAAAATGCTTATATATTTTCTTAAAAATTAACACAATGTCATGGCTTATTTCGAGTTATAATTAAATTAATTTTAAATTAATATAATTAACAATGTTAATTTAATTATAGCTCAAAATAAGCCATGACATTGTGTTAATTTTTAATTTTATTAAGTTATCAAAATAAACGTTTAAGTATAATGATAACGTAAAAAATTTAAGATTCTAGCAATTAGTTTGAATAGCGCCGTTTCAAACCGGAATGCAACGAGTGCACTCGGATGGCCGCCTTGCAAGGGTTGTCAACGTGTCTTTAAAAATAATCGTACAATTGTGTGTATGTATGCATGCGTATGATTTTGATTAAAGCCGTGATGTAGAATTCATTTGAATTTAAGAGAAGATTGATTCGGATTGTTTGAATAGAAAAAAGTGGC